TTGGATCTTTAAAAGATGGTGAAATCTCACCATTAAAGATTTGAAAAAAGATTTGAGTCTTCCTTGATTTGAGTAAAAAAATGAGTTTTTCTTAATTTTGTATAAGTTTGAGTCAATGGTTGGAACAAGTTTTTTAGACTTTTTTACTCAAATTTAAATTTGAATCTAAATTTTTGTAAGGGTTGAAGATGCCCTTAGTAATATAGATTGGTTGTAAGCATCTGTAGAACATACGAAATCCATTTTTTGGCTAATAAAAATTATTAATTACCAAAAAAGAAATCATAAAACATACAATATAAATAGTACTAGTAATTGCCCATATATGAAGGCACCATATAACATAAAAAAATCTCAAGCAATTACCCACACCCAAAAACATGATAGAAGAAAAAAAAATGGTCAATCAAAAAAATTGACAAAACCACAATTCAATATGAGCCCACCATTAACGATCAGTACGAGACAACCATTATTTTAAAAAAATTTCAACAATATCTTTTGAAGGCATGATCCCTAAACAATAACAACTTTTATATATGGGTGTTCATGGACAGGATTTCGCATTGGTCCTGCTATCCAACCCGAAAAAATAGGCATAAAACTCGATAGACTCTATAGTTGGCCCACTCGAACTCGAGCCCAATATCCTTAAAAAGAAGGTTTGAGTTTGCCCCCCAACCCATTATCCAGCCCGAAACCCGACCTAATAACCCGTCCGAAAAAAAACCGATTAAAACCCGGCCCAAGAGCCTGCCTCCCAAATCCAGCCCGCCCACCCACTTTTTGAAAAAAAATTATACTTTTAAACCATTAACTTTGAAACTTCAAAATAAGTTTTTTAATGTCGGAATTTGAAGTTTTAAAATCTAGATACTATAAATAATATAGTATTTTCTTTTCTATGTATTAAGCATACAAGTTTTAAATGATAGAGTAATGTAAATGATAGATAAGTAAGTAGGTGTCAATCTAGTTGAGATGTATTCATTCTATTGGATGTAATTCATCCCCTAATCAAAAATAAATTTATTCTTTGTTTTATTATTTTTATCTATTTTAACTCTACTTTTGATCCAAAAATATAATTTACACAAATATTAAGTTACAAAAATATTTAATTATTTTTAAATAAAGTTGTATATAAAAAACCAATAAGTAGACCCGCCCAATAGGCTTGCGGGTTGGACTGCGGGTAGCCTACCACTACTCGAAGCCCATTCCGGCCCGCCCGATAGCTCACTTGAGTAAGGGCTTGGACATATACTACCTAGGACCAGCCCGGTCCTGCCCATGGACACCCCTACATTTATACACAACTTAAATAATCAAACTTTCGTTTATTATTTGGCTAAGGGCTAGGGTTTTAGAATTTGGCTCTAGAGTGGTTTCGCCTTCGTTGTAGTTACAATTGTGGATGACCTAACAAGAATTAGGGTAGGGCGTTATTCAAGAGAAAGAGTAATGACAGAGACAGAAATTAGTAGGGATGTGTGTGTGTTGTGTGCGTGAGTGTTGTGCTTGTGTGCGTGCGTGAAACAGAGAGAAAGGGAAGGAGATGGGCAAAAAGTGAAAGGGAGATTGGGGGGATGATGGGAAAGTGAGAGAGAAAGAGGGAGAAGAAGATGAGCAGGAGCGAAAAAGAGAGAGCGAGACATACACCTATGAAATTGAAGCAATTACCGTCAGTTTGCGAGGGAGAGATGGATTCTAGGCTCTGTGCGAGAGAGAGAGATAGAGAGAGAGAGAAGTGGCCTAGTGAGAATGGTGACTGAGGGAGATTGAGAAAAATAGAGACGTCCATGGAGGCTTGTCAACGAATTGAGTTTGGATCGAATTACATCTGATTCAAATTTGAATCAGATTTCAAAAGTTCGATCCAAACCCAATCCGATAATTCGACGATTTTTTATTTTCGTTATCCATATCCAAATCCGTGAACTATCCGAAATTTGATCCGAATAACTTAATTATACATAAATTTTAACAAATTATACATAAATTTTAACTAAATTTCTTTAAATAATCACTTAATTTTTTTAATATTTATGTAAAAATATATAAATAATTCGAATCGAATCATAATCAGGTTGGATATAGGTATATGAAATATAGGATTCGGATCAAATTTGAATTAGAATCCGATCCATTGACAGGCTTACGTGCATGGGTGGGGGAGGGCATGTGGAAAGTTTAAATTTTTTGGGTGTGAAATGAAGAGAAAAATATAAATTTTAGGAGCATGAATTGCAAAAGATATGGAAAGTTTTAGACATAATTTTTTTAAAAGTAATACTATTTGTAGACCTAAAAATGTGCTTTGATTTTATGACATTATTTTTTTTTGACCGTTGATTTCCTGGCATGATGATGTGGTTTTATTAGAACCAATGTTTTATGAGTCTGATAATCAATTCAAAACTCATAGTGAATCAAGTCAACAAATCAAGTCAAATTTTTAGATCCAAATAGCATTGCTTTTTTTTTTTAATAGAAAAGAATATTTTCCATTGGATAAATATTTGAAAATCATTTGAATCGCAAAGAATAAGAAATTTTTTAATTTTTTTAAAGGTTTGAAAGCTTTTAAATTTTATTATATTGATTTGAACGGTAGAGAGCTCAATTTGGAAAGGAGACAAAAGGGAGAGACAACATACTTTTGGTGAGGGCATTAACGGAGTAATTGATGGCATGAATAAGGGTAAGCAAAAATGGAAAGTTTTAGACGGAAAAAAAAATTCAAAACTCTTTTTAGTCCATTAGATCAATAAATTTTGAAATTATCTGAACTATCTTTTATTTTGGGCTATTGTCGTCCGTCGGATATGTTTGTGTTTTGTCTTCAAAATATCTGAACCTCTCTTTATCTCAAAAATTCAAACTTCCATATATATAGATATGCTCCATAAAAGTTCCACAGAAAGGAAACCTTAATATTAACATAAAACATAAAAATATAGCTAAACCATGCCCAATATTGGGTTTTTGAATAAACTCAGCATATTAATTTTTGAATAATCAACATCCGAGTTAACTAGATATGAAGACATCATAAATCATTACGCTGTACTTGGTCATTGCAACATCATCCCTTCTGCCGGATAACAAAACCCATCAAGCAAATCGCGTTGTATTCTTCCATATCCATTATCTACCTATGTCGNCCTTCTGCCGGATAACAAAACCCATCAAGAAAATCGCATTGTATTCTTCCATATCCATTATCTCCCCATGTTGTGTTCCAACTATTTTGGATCCAATAGAAGTTGATCCCTTCATGTGTTCCGTACCCAACAACAAGAATGGCATGTCTGCCCCTCCTCCCTTCCTCTTTTGATTTTTCGCTAGGTCCTTGGTAAATTTCCTGTCCAAAACCAAACATAAATAAAGAAATATAAATATAGCATGAAAAAATTTCCAATTCATTTATTCTTGTAATTTTTTAAATATTTTTACTTACATTCGTGAGGCTTACAAATTCCAGATACACATCAATTACTGCAGCGATGGGATGTTGATCAATGAGACTTATAATGTAATCTTCAGTTGGAGATGGAGGTACCATTGTGAAACAATCCATCCAAAGTCTCAATGTCTGAAACAAGTAAAAATATGAGTAATGTAGATATTTTAAGTTAACACAAAAATTATTAATAAAGAACTTACATTTCTAGAGGGGCTATTTGAAGTTTTTCTCACCTCAAAGGCATAATCTTGTTCTAAGCATATACCATATGATGTTATGTATTGTAAAGCTTTGTGTATGCTGGAAGTTCTACAACCGGCATCATCGAAGTCTGTGAGAACTTCTCTGCTATGATCAATTTTATCGTGAATGTAATTCACCATCTCTTGTGGTGAAAGAGTGATGTCAGCATTGAATTTCAAATTGTAAACAGCCTCAGAAACAGCAACGGCATAGCAACATCCTTTGGAAAAAAAAGAGGAAGTTATATTAGCTATGCAATCATGAATAATAAATTCATCAATAATAAAATATGCACCAAAAGATAACTTGTAGACTTACTACATCTCCTTTGGTCCCTGACTGGGTGGAGGATATTACGGTTATCCAAATGCCAACTAAAATTTTCCTAACAATACAAAATCATAGTATTTAAATTTGTGTTAATACTACCCAAATATAAAAAAGAATTGACGTTTGCAAGAACACTTGAAAATTTGTAAAAAACACTTCTAGCAGGCTCGTACTAAAATCATAGTTACCAAAAATTTGATTCACCCAAAAAAAAAAGTGTATTGAGATATTCTAGAAAACATGTACAAACATTTAATCATTTCATTTACAATCTTATAAACAATATTACAACAATTATATTAATTACATCCACGTAAAAAGTTATAATCTTACTGTTATACTGAATTTTGTGATTCTTTTACCGAATGTGATTATTATCTCTCATGTCCAATTCAAAGTATAACTTATATTTTGGAAGTCTGATTTAGTACATTCAGGAAGTGGTCAGCTAGTCCAAGAGCGGACGAGGAATGGTTGTGAAGTGGGTCTATGAACAACGCATAAAGTGGTCTGTACCAGCAAGTTTACCTAGGAACGAAGTTTTGCATTTTGGGTAAATTACATCTAGATCCCTTGAAATTTGTCATTATCTCACATGAACCCCCTCATGTATGAAAAATAACATTATCACCCCTTGAACTATGGGTACATATAACACAAACATCCCTTGTTTGTTGTTAGCTCCTTTCAACTTGCCGTCAAAATTGAATGACATCAACATATTATTTTAAATAAAATTCTCTAAAATTCAAGAGAAAACCCAATTATTATCCATGCCCTCCAAACACACCCGGTCCATCTTCAACCCCTAAAGGCATCTAGCACAAAATCAACCCCCATTATTCCCCTCCCCCGTCCAATCGTTCCACCCTAACCTTGTGTACCCATTGTTGCAGAAAACCACCAAGAAGTGTTTGGGGAAGAGGAAGGGGGAGAGAGAGAGAGATGCACAGTAGACTTACTCCAGCCCAATCCACCACCACCGAAACACCATCCACCCATATTTGCCACCATCTAGAACACCCCAACCCCAAAATCTGCTACTAAAAACACCCAAGCCATCACTGAACCCCACACAGACAATTAACCAAGCCACAACAATCCAAACCCACTACATATATTCTAGCCCGTTTGGTCACCACTGATTCTACACCCACCAAATCTACCACCATGAAGTAGACCCCCACCCCCAAATTCTCTACCACAAAACACCAAAACTACCATCGTACCACGCCCATGCAACAGTTACAACTGCCTCCACCGAAATCACACCCTCAAAATCGACGTTGTCGAGACCACCTCCAACCCCAAAAACCTTAGCCACCATCAGATCCCACCCAAATAATCATAGCAGCCACCACATCACCAAGCCGAGAGAGACAAAGGGGAGAGGAAGAGTCCTTGTTCACTGTTCTAGGAGAGGGGGTTGCAGCAGGGTAGAGTGCGATGGAGGAGCAATCGATGCCTTCGGTGGTGATGATTGTGTAGAGCTAGGATGAAGTGGGACGGAGGGAAAAAAATGGGATATTTTATGGGTTTTGTGTTTGGGGGGGTTGGTCAGTTTTGAATTTGAGTTTCTGTTTTATTTAAATTTTTTCAAGGATAAAATAAACATTTAGCAACTTCTGTTAGGTCTGTTAGCTAACTGTTACTAACAGGGGGTCTCAGTAAAATTTGTCAAATGTGAGGGGATTCATCTGTTAAGTGATAAATTTTAAGGGGTTTAGATGTAATATACCCTTGCATTTTTGGTTCTTTCTAAAAAAAACTTGTTTTCAACCTCTCCACAGCTCATAATAACGCCTACTATCTTGGTTTTTGACGTGAGTGTATGTGTAGGGCTGTTAAAAGATTCCGACAGCTTGCGAGTGGTTTGGACTCGGCTCGATTTTAACTCGGCTTATATTATAAAAATGAGTCGAATGTAAACAAATTTTTAAGCTTGTTTAGTATTCGAGTCGACCCGAGCCAGGCCCAAGCTATTCGTGACTCGGCTCATTTTTCCTACTTATGGATAATAAACATATAGATTATTACAAATTTAAAGGTTATTTCAGTAAAATAAGCAAATTTAAAGGTTATTTCAGTAAAATAAGTAAAACAAATTACTTATGTCATGTCTTTGTCTATCCATCACAAGTTTGTCATGCTAGACTCATCATCTTCCCTTCCCCCCGCCCCGCTTCCTTCTTCCATGGTTTTGGTATCTGTTAACTCTAAATCATCTAGGTCTCTCTCTCCTTGCTCACCACCACGGCTTTCCTTAATCCAAACCCTAGAAAAATTCTCATCTATGATCAATATATCTCTGCCACAAGCTATCAGTATGTACATAGGGGTGGAGGGAGGGTAAAAATTTAGACTCAAGGTTCTCTCGTATAAACTTAATCTCAAAATTGTTTCATTAGTCTTTAGTTATCGATCTATTCCTTATGCGATAACTTATTTAAGTTACTGAATTAATTTTTCTCCCAATTTAATTACTATGATATAGATTAATATTTTTGACCGATTATCTAAATTCGAATATGAATCACAAAAATGAAACAAGTTGAATAATTAAATTATATTCAAAATAGAGTTTTCAAGTTAAATTGTTATTCAGAGAAGCCAAAATCTTATTATTGACAAACTCACTTGCAAAGTGACATGTCAAAATTGCATTCTCTATAAAAATTATCCTTACTTTTGTACTTTATACAAAATAATTTTTTATTAGTTTTTCTTAGCCAAGTCTTATATTTTTCATGTGTATTTCTATGTGAAATCTTGAAATTAAAAAATATATATGAAGAATTATTGTATAAAAGTTGTTAGATTAGAAAATTCTTAAGATACAATGAATTTTAATGATTGTTGTACGTTAAGTCGTTCTCTCAAACTTGATGGTTGCTTCCACAAGAAAGAGACTCCCACCCCTATATCTACATACTTGCATATATTAAGTTTGTATGTTTTTCCTCTAATTTAGAGGTATTTTATGTTCAATTTTCTATTAAAATTTAGATTTGTCGTTTGGGTATTTGAAATTTATGAATTTGAATTTTTAATTTTTTTTTAATGACTCATTTTTGCCTCAAGCTCAGCTCGAATTTGATGTGAACCGAGCTTGAACAATATTTTGAGCTCGATAGGTGAGTTGGAGCAAAACTTGAGCAATTCTTGAATAGCAAAAGCCGAGCCTGAACACAGCCAAAACTCAAAAAGCACGGTTCGATTAACACCGTTATGTATGTGTTTATCTGCCATGAGCTATGTTATTTTCATAAGCCTGCAAAGTTTTTGTTACGTGCTCTAGATGCTTTCCACGCAGCTACAAATGTGAGTAGTGTTGTGCAAACGGTACTACAAGGGTTAAAAAAAAAAAACCAAAACATTTTGTAAGATTTTCCCAGAAAGTAAGGATCTCAAATTTTGAGGGTCCATTTTGTTAACAAAAAAAATGATAGAAAGTAAAGTGAAAAAAAAGAAAATAATAGAAATATATTTTTATGCATGTGTTTGGTTAGAATGAAAAACTTAGAGGAAAGTTTAAAATTTTTTTATTTTATTATTTGAATGAAAAGAAAGTTACAAGAACACTTTTATAATTATCTAAATTACCTTTAACTATACTAAATAGGTTTAAAGAAGAAAAATATGAATTATAATTGAAAGTTAAAAAATTTAAAAAAAGTGACTCGAACCATAATTCTGGGACAAGCACCAGCACGAGGTCTTTCAAACAAATTATATGATTTATTAAATTCATACCAAGAATTTTTAAAATTAATAACTAATAAAATATTTTAAGAAAAATAATGGTAAAATAGAAAGTTAGTTATACATCACAACTTTCTTGCATTTTCTTGTGTTTTTTTCCAAGAAAAAAAAACTTGGTTAGCTGTGAGAAAATTCAATCATAAAAGAAAATTATTTTTTCCATCATTTTTCATTTCATACTAACAAAATAAAATTTTTATCTTTCTTGCATTTTTTGTCATTCTCCCGCTAAACAAACGGATCTTTGAATTAAATGTGCTCCACCTATAATGGTTTTCTTGTTTGGGTGGGACTATTCTCATCCACCCAAAAATCTAAAAGCCCACCCCAGCAAACTTAATTTCATGAAATCCAATAATGACCAAGTCCACCTCATTAGTATCGAAAATTATTTATTCTCATCTCAGTTTACCTCCTTCCTCTCTCCCCAAACCACAGTCCTTCCACTCATCTTAATATATACAACAAGCTCATGGTAGCTGTATTTTGAATTCACAATATTCTTTAGATATACTAGTTTACCAACACTTGGATTCAAGGCCAGCCGACGTAAATTGGGGCCTAGGCAAAAATGGCAATGGGGCCCTGTCAAACTTAGTATAAATATATATAATATATTTTTATTTTTATTTTATTTTAAAAATTAGTTTTGATACAAAATTTCTAAGTTTTAATATCTATGTTTTCCAATTTGTTCTTTCGATGGATAACATAAACAATCTATTTAGTTGTTCTTTTGACATAATTGATCATGATTAGAATTTTATGAATTTTTATTTAATAAGTCAGGAGGGAGGTATGATAATTATGCCAGTGCTTATTTTTATTTGGTCTGTTTCACTCTAAATTTCCTTTTGGCCCGGATGACAAACAATTCTTTCTTTAGTTATTTATTTATTTATTTTTGTCTTGTTCCTCAGCTAGTTATTGGGTTTTCTAATTTGAAAGGCTAGACCACACTAGATACTTATTATTGGGCCTTCATTTTTATGAATAGAGGCCCCTCTTTTCACGGACCCTAGGCCGCCATTTCAGTGGCCAAGCCCAAGCCTATTGTTTAACTACTGGCAATATAAGACCCCTTTTAATTAGTACTATCACAATCTCGTCGAGATCATAATTTGATCAACCTTTTCATTTTACACTGACTTACACCAAAACGAATCAGTAATGCGTAGTGTATATGTATATTGAATTCATTATATTAATCAAGCTATGTAAGTCGAAAAGTATCGCATTATTTAGTAAATATTTATTAAAAGGTTAAAAAAATTAGGTTCCATACAGGAGCAAGATCTATTGCTAGCTGGATTTTTCATAGAGCACTATAGTTGGATATTATTTTCTGTAAGGAATCTATAATAGATTATATTAATAATGGCATAATGCTATATAGTTTCCAATGAGCTAAAATAGGATAAACAGTTTACATAAAAGAGATATATCTNNNTTTTTGATATACAGATGTTTGTTTTTTAATTTTTATATTTTTATAAATCAACTAAACACTTTTATAAGAAGAAAATATTACTATCTTGGAATTAAAAAATTTTAAAATTATAACACAATAAAACTTAATGTATTATCGCGACCCACGAAATTAAGATATGATATAAGGATTCTTCCCTAACATCGCCTATTAGATATATATAAAGATTCAGTAGATTAAATACATCTTTTCAACCTTATTAAATATTTTGTCAAATTTAATTTTGTATTTAGGTTGAACTTCTGGGTCCAAATTATTTAATTTAATTTTTTTATTAGTTGAAATTTTAACTAGATTTTTGTTGGAGTCAATTTTTATGAATTTAAATATTTGGCTCTTTTAATTGGAGCCTAAAACTCATGCTTTAGTGCCCTTATGTATAGGCCGGCCTCCGGTCACTCTCACAACCACAATCAATAACTAAGGAAACAACCCCACCCAAATCTACCATAACCGCACCCAAGCCACCACGCAACCTACAAGAAGCAGCCAAGCAACCATCGCACCAACTACTCACACGACCACTGTCGCACCACTGCAAGTGCACACACACACACACCAGGGTCAAAGCACACACACAGAATGACTCCAACCATTATCAACAACACTACATTGCCACCACCACATACCCAAGACAAATCATACGATTCATACCAATACCACATAACAATGGTCTATAAATCATGGCCAGAGGGAGGGCGGGCTACCCCCATTAAAATTTTGAAAATCTTTTGAGGCTAGTTTAAAATTACAAAAAAAATAAATTTTTTCAATACTTGCCCCCACTGAATTTTTTACGATTCATGAGACTTATTCCCACAATTCTTTATTTACTCTCTAGCTATTTCTCTTCTTTCTACGACAACACACTAAGTTACTAAACTAATTTTTCTCTAAATTCGATTATCTAAATATAGATTAATATGTTTAATCGATTATCCAAGATTGAATTTGTTATTATATTTCAAGAATTTAGATTTAAATATACCAAAATTTGACATCATTGTGAATCAGATTGATTTATAAAAACACATGCACACACACGTGTATATAAAACTTTTGATTAAATNGCTAAA